GCAAACTGTAAAATATAAGATAATTAAGTCGTCGGCCAAAATCTATAATTATGTTAACAACAATCCTTAGAGCTTTTAGATGAAGCTTATCCAAAGTAATTTGCGTGAGATAATAACGTAAACGATGTTTATGAATATAAAATTTAAGTATTAGATAAATTATATAATAATTTAAGAAGATCTTTAATTTTCGTACATTTAAAAGATAAAATTTATTAATTAAAATAAAAGTTTCAACGATTTTTTAAGATATGTAATTTATGCTTAATAAGTGAATGATTGTGTAAAAGTTATAGTTTAAAAATAAAATAAAACGCTTATCGTATCTAATGAAAAAGCTCCATACTTCATTTCCTTAATTTCTTTAAATTTCACTATATTTCTGCACCTATTTTAGTAACATATCTATATATATAAAAGAAAGTCATATTAGTTACACTATTTATCACTTAAGAACGGCTTTACCGATATGGCTGAAAATTGGTGAGGAGGTATGTAGTTTAGAGCCATTTATTCATTTGTTTTAATTAATTAAGTTTTTTATACATCCACGCGGACGGAGTCGCGGCCGACAGCTAGTTTATATAATTTATTAATTTTGACGTTGAGTATAGTTAACAATTGAACCATATCACTCAAAAAGATGAAAAATGTATTATACATGAAGGGGAAGACATTCTCGTTATATCTTCCTGTGATAGAATTTTCAACGAAGGATCCTAAGGTTAAGCAGAATTTACCTTCAATTGCGACGCTCACAGTATTTTTAAATTTAAGCGGAAGCATTGTAAAACATGAAATGTTAGGGGGAAATCCTTTATGGTTAGATTACGTCTTAAAGAACCTTAAAAATCATGGAAGTAAAGATAAGTATCAACTTGTAGAGTTAATATTATGTTAGTTTAAGAACTTGAAATGAAGAGTTTTCAATTACCTTGGTTTATTCAAAATTTCCATATGTCTAAATGAACAAGTTGAATGTTATTTAAACTAAAAAGTACAGCTTTTATATTTAACATATATCATAATTATTAATGGCCTGAGACGGTTTTTTGACTTAAAAAAAATAGTAATGCGTTAACTTGAAAACTATTGGTTCATTAATTTTGAAATAATTATTTTAATAATATTTTACTATAGATCATATTATATTTAAAAAGTAAATAAAAAAGAGCAATAAATAGCTTGCATCTTTAGAATAAAGTAAAGAGTTTTCAAAGACTTGTAAAATTATCTAATAGCTATTCTAGTCATTGCAAATGAGTCAGTAAAGTGCGCTAGATTATGCAGAGTTTTATCCTTAAGTGGTGTAGAAATTAGCTGTATATTTAAGACTGGCGCTACATTTAAGTATTTAATACTGAATAACTAAAATACATGTTATTCTTAAAAAAGGGTCTTGACAGACAGACGGACGGATAACAAAGTGAGTTCTATAACGGTTCCGTTTTTTTCCTATGAGGTACGGAACCCTAAAAGTACTATAATTCAGGTGTATTAATTTTTTTAACATAAAATTTTTTTTGTCATTTCATAAATGTTTTTAGATTTTGAATTTTCACAAAATAATTTCATGGATCTTAAAGCCTTAATACAAATGGCCATAGACATAATAAAATGTTTTTTTTTATTAATTAATTTAAACTAATTTGTAAGTTTATCATTTGTTTATCAGGTAAATAAACCTATAAAAATTATGGCAATGACTTAGAATAAATTTTGAATTTGTTTTAAAAACATTTAAAATATTTAGTTCAAGCTGTCAGTCGTAATACAGTTAATAAAATGAGGTTGTTATCGGTTGAGGCCATCAGTAGTAACGCGTAGCAGAGCTTACTTAGCCGACTTAAGTAATTGCTTTCAAAGAGAGCCTTCTGCGTACGACCCATACAAATGTCTTGATTGTTTCCTGTTTTTTTTAATAAACTAAAAAGCATTGATTGTGAAGCCTCTAAATAGCTTCCTTCGTTTTGGGATAACAATAAGAAACTTAAAATATTACGTGTACGGTACATAGTGAAGGTTAAAATATCTCTTATTTCAACTACAAAATGTTTCTCCTCTATGAGATTAAACACAAAGTACATAACATAGATATACATATTGTCTTATATAATATAACTAGCAGTCACCCGCAATTCCGGTCACGCGGAATTTAAAAGAACAATAATTAGTTATCTTCTTCTTCTAGTGCCTCTTCAGTCTTGAAGGTTATTAGTTATCTATATTTTGTTAAAGATTATGTTCTATGTGTATGCCAAATTTCATCGAGATCCGTTTAGCCGTTCTGGAGATACCTTTAAACAAACATCCATTCATCTAAACATTCGCATTTATAATATAAACAAAGCTTCTTTAATTTTAGATTTCTCGATGACGTCACCAAAACAATTAGGTTTCTAGACATATTTATTTAGTGAAATCAAGAAGTATTTGGGGATGAAACTTGACACTTTGTAAGTTAACAAAGTCTCCTTCAGATTCCGGGTGACGAGGTCTCTCAATTAAAGGCTCAACTGCGCAAAACTAACAAATAAACTAAACAAACAGATTACTCACGCAAACTGAATAATACGGGACCAAAATTAATTGGATTCATATATTTGCTAATTTTATTTGTTGTCTCTTAGTCTATCTCTCATCTTTGGAACAATATTCACCATAGACTTCATTGTTCATCAAGACAAAATTAAAAACAAAACCTTTTTGAATCTTGCTACGACTTTTGTCTGAACTAGTGGTGGCCCATTGGTAGAATTTACAATCTTTAATGATGTTCATGAATACTTCGTGAGGTCAACAGATGTCGCTGATAACAGTCAAGGATGCATACTATGGAAGAAATTGGGATAGGTCTATTCCGAGCAATATTACTTATATTATAAATGCGAATGTTTGGATGGATGAATGTTTGTTTAAAGATATCTCCAGTACGGCTGCATGGATCTCGCTGAAATTTGTCATAGATGTAGAACATAGTCTCAAAGAATACATAGACTACTAATTAAGTTTTTTTTTTTTAATTCCGCGCGGACGTAAGCTATAGCTAGTGAATTGATAAAGGCAGATGGTGATATTTGACAAGTAATAAATCAACAGATAAAATAAAAAATATCAAAACATTTTCAATTACTTCACTGAATAAGAGAGAATCTTATCCATATGCTGCTGTTTTTTTTCTTGAATAAACAAATACAAGTGATATGAAGCACTCTGGCGTATCACTGCCTGCAACATTATTGGAATCCATAAGCTTGAGAAATAATTACATTTCTAAAAGGATGTAAGATATTCAAATCTGCATTCGATTATTTAACTTACCCCTCACAGTATAAAGTACATTTTGCAATGTACACACAAACCTATATCTAAATTAGAAGTTTCCGTTCCCTATTTTAGTTCTCGCATATTGATAGAGTGTACAGCCGTGAACGAATATTATATTGACTTCTTTTAGAAACAAGATAAAAATCTTTTGTATGATTTCTAGAAAAAATAACCTATAAATGATTCTCTAGAGTCTGTTATAATCTATTGTCCCTATATCTCCCTCTCCATATCCCAGCTTTGAAGTTAATTAATCTATTGATAACTTCTTACTAATCTTACTCCAACTTATATTATAAATGCGAATGTTTAGGTGGATGGATGGACAGATGAATGGATATATGTTTGTTTGAAGGTATCTCCAGAACGGGTACATGTATCTCGTTCAACAAAGCCTGGAAGAACACATAAGCTATTAAGTTTTTTTTAATACCACGCGTACGCAGTCGCGAGTGATAGCTAGTCTTACATAAATCATGATCAAAGGTCAGAAGTTCATATATGTGTCTATCCAATTTACTAAATTTATTGGACTCACGAATTGGTTTGTTAAAATGAGTCGATACAATAACGAGACGGCTAGGAAAGCGAAATTGGCAGTTGTGAAGGATGCATGACTCAGCTCGCACCTGCCCACGGCGATCCCGACGATTCTATTAGCCTTCTTATCTCAACAAATATTGGAATGTTTGCCTCCATCTAATTCGGTCGCTACGTGACGACTTTCCTCCATTATTGTCATATTACACGTTAGCATATAAATAATTGTATATCACTTTTGTCTATTTAGTTATTTTGGGCGTTTGATTACTTTTGTGATAGACTATTTAATTTTTCGCATCTCCAGAGAGTTTGCAACCGATGAATTTTTCGTGTGGACGGTTGTCAGTCGGACGTATTGTTCTGAAAAGATTTGAATATTATACAGAGCATGTTGCGTAGTTGTTAAATTCTAAGGTAATAATGTAAAGAAACCTATATATGTATTCGTATAGTATCATAATATTATCTGTGAAGGAATTAAATATTTGCAACTATGAAAAAAAAGTTTCAAAGGTGTATTTTATTTTACTTTTATTTCTGTAACAATAAGGAGTGATAACGTTTCATTACTTTGCTTTGTTTTGTTTTCTTTTCTTCTCCATTATCGACCGATAACTGAAAATTAAATGAAAAACTTAGAATTTGATAGCTGGTAACGACATCTATTGGTCAATTCAAAACATTATGAACTATAGACATTCATCTTCCTTTTTTGTTTCTTTACACTCAAAAGTTATGCACTTTTACGAGTAAAAATAACAATTGCGTTTCGGAAAAATTGAAAAGATCATTTTTGATGAAAAGGAATGTAAATGTCAGAAATTAAAGAAGTTCAGAAAATAAAGTTTTTTTAGATTTTCAATTATAAATTTGAAGTAAAATATGTTACGCAATTTTAACTATATCAAAATCTAATAGAATCAATCTTCCAAATGGTATTTTTATATTAAATTTTTTATTATTTTATGTGTCTGATTGCATGATTCAATGGCCGTATTAGACTTCAATTAATATTAAAAGAAATTAAAAAATAATTCGTAATATCCGCAAAGAGTGACAACTTTAGGCGTAAAAATTGTCTATGGCACTCCGCCCGGAATATCATAAATCTATTGGCTTAAGAAATTGAGTTGAAAATGGCGCGCGTTTTGTCATATCCTGTTGTGTGTTGGTGAGTGCATGGCCTCGACGTTGATCCCGTTCCAAGATTTTTATTCCGTAACACCGCAGTCTTTCACATATGTAATATTACCCCAATATAATATTCGTGATGGTGTCCTGTAAAAGGCCATGGATTTGATGAAAACGGTAAGAGCAATATAGTTACAGCATATTTCGTTTAATTTTGTTTGGCTTTTGTTTCTTGTTTTGGTGATTTTGAAACTGGCCATTACATTAGAAAAAATCTCTTTCCAGAATATGTGTGCACGTGGGAGGTAAGTCTAATAGTTTTTATTGATTAGACGGTATACTGTTTCGCATTTGCACCATAAAAATTGAAGTTTGTTGATTTGTCAATATATGGCACCCGGCAACCGAGCGTTGTTACGCCATTTTATAGTCCTCCAAATGTTCCGCACATTTTGCAGCTTTGACTTTTTACGAGGAAATACTAGATGGTGAAAAATATGCTTTAATCGGAAGGAATTGAAAAGGAGGTCAATTTGATAAACATTGGTTCTAGGTATGTGTATTTCAATATTGCATCGTATTACATGACTTGACAAACCACATGTGCATAGATGGATTTGTTGTTATTATTCGGTCGGTACAGGCCAAGTTGCATAATGTATTTTGCACGATATTCGAATTGCTAATAGTAATAATCTAGGATGTTTTTAATTCCATTGCGCTTTATATTATAAAAGTTATTCCTATAAATTTATAACCTATAAATTTGACAACCTGGAATGAAGTCCAAATTTCATTATGTCTTTAGTCAATCGTTTCAAGGTTAGATGGTCATTGAAGTCTATTCAGAGTAGAACAGTTATTAATTGTTCTTTGTAAAAAGCCATATCTTCACAAAAAAAACTCAATGAAAAACTAAAAAAAATTAGCTTGGTGCTCACTGCATATTATCTGTGTCTATTTCTTAACTGTTCTCTCTTTATTATAACAAAAGTCATAAATATGTATATTTCTTATAGTTATTAGAAATACACACAACTTAGGATGTAAATAACTAAAGTAATCTTTATATCAATAATCTTGTATACTTAAAAAATCATATTCATTAAAGTGTAAATGATTAAATAAAACATTCAAATAAATTTGCATATCTCTAATAGCAATCGCAGTATATCCTTGCGTGTACAAAATGAGAAGCAAAAATAAAGTAATTCACCAAGACAACTTGTAATAAACATAGGATTCTTCACCATTAAATTAATAATGGGTATTTCCACCGCTCACATCTCAGGTTCTAAGATTTTGTGTAAATAGGGTATGCAGGAGGTTTTTTTTTGTAAAATATGAATAGATTGATTATTAAATTCAGCTGTTGGAGTTTTATACTGTTTTGAAAATATATAAATACCAATAATAACAAAATCCAATTTATCTCTAAGTAGCAATCCTTATTCTATACTTTGTCTGAATATACTTTATGTAGATTTAACAAATTAGATATTGTAAGGAAAATGATAAGGGTCATTTAAGATCTGACTAAATAATCTATAAAACAAAAACAAACTACACCTTTGGCCTGTGAATTTGTCTTTGTGGAGTTTTAAAAAAAAACTTGAAATCTATGTATCCTTCCAGTGACACTGTTGTCGATATATGCCAAATTTTATTCAGATCCATGCAGCTTTTCCACGTAATAAATATCCATCCATGCAAACATTTGCATTTATAATATTAGTTAAAGGTAAAACCCAAGTAAATCTGATTTTACTATTTCTTTTGGTAATTTGTGTTTGAAAATGAAAATAAATGATTTATTGTTTCAACAAAAATGGTACATATTTGCGGCGGGACTTCCATTTAAGCATCCATAAAGAGCTTGTGATTGCACATCCCATTCTTCCATGTGATATAAATTGTATTAATGGTACCTACTTAATCTATGTATTATAAGAAAAACAATTAATTTAACAAACGAAACAAAATACAAAAAGCTTTCTTGCAGTCTCATTATTCAAATTTATAACTTAGTAGATTTTTCTTTTATTTTAGAGCTAATTCAAAATTTAACCTTTAAATTAAACTAGATGTTTCTCACACCAAGAGTTCCTCGATTTTTCTAACTAACAATCCAATAGGTAATTTATATAATCCTGTCTTAATGTAATATTGAATTCAATAGATCCACAGTTTTTGATTTTTTCTTTTTGCAAGAATCTTCTCCTGACATTGTCACAACAAAAAAGAATTACCGAATTTATTCTATCTATGTGAGATGCTCTAACTGCAACATATTAAATATATAGATTTTAAAGTAGCCCTCTTGTCAATCTCTTGACTGACTCTTCTGCCCTCCTCTCACTGCCCCTTTATCTTGGTCTTGCTGTTAAATTACTGCTATTGCATTGTACCCCAAACTTGCTCTCTATACTCAAGCTCAAATATCATAGGTTGATAATGGGTGCACATCAACACTGCAGTGACTAAATAATAAACTTTAAATAAAAATATTTGTATTTAATATAGAAAAGTCTGTATTCTATTTAATTTGTAAATACCATGTTTATCATATACTTGATTGTCGCAAGTGACTTTGTCTGTGTAAAACTGAAAAAAAAAACCATGACTAGTATGCCTATGTGTTCTTCCAGATTGTGTTCCAAATTTATGTTTGCCAAATATCATTGCAATCTGTTCAGCTGTCCTAGGGTATCTACCTCCAAACAAACATCCATCCATCTAAACATTCCCATTTATAATATTTGTATGATAAGTAGGATAGTTGTGTGTACTAAACTCGTCTAAAGATATGTGAAATATTGATCAAGTTTGTGAGTTTATAATCGGACTTGGCTTATGATAAATTATATAAAATGAATAAATGATGTTGAAATGATGAATTGACCAAATGTTTCTTAATTATATAATTAAAAAAATATTTTTAATTATAAAATAAGTCCAAAATTGTATACAGTAAAATCAAACATCACACTTCCGAATTATATTGGCCATTTACAAGTTATTCATAGTTTCATATACCTAATCTGATTGTAAATTGATCAATTTCAAAATCTGTTGGTGACATATGTAAAATATTTGATATTGCCTAGAATGTAATTGCTGAGTTAAACTGTAGTGGCATGTTTCAGGAATATGAGTTCCTAGACTTGTCAGATGTAAAAGAAGCGGAACTGAGCAGTCTACAGTGTGCACTTTTCGAGAGGAAGCCAGAGAGGTCCGTGCCCACCACAACTGTAGCGGGTTGGACTGAACCCAGCGCAGGTTAGTTGTTTTTACTTTGCATAACACACATGACTACTTTATATAACACATGTATCTACATTTGTGCCTACAAAATGTTGCCAAAGCGATTGTGTTTCGTGTCATTTTTTGGATCAAAATGAACTTTATCACATTTAAAACATGAATGAAGATATTCTTTATGTTCCTTACTATAAAATATAATTTCTTAAATGAGGCTCACTTTTGTTTACTTGCTGCTCTTTTAATCTTCTAATCAGAATGCTTATTAAAACAAACCTTGAATTATGCAAATGTCTCATGTTGTTCAAGATACAAATTATTCAAATTAAGATATTTTTGGTCCAAGAACCTTTAACACTTTTGACAACACAGAGCTTTTCCTAATGAATTTCGCCTTGAGTTTGTCAACTCAAGGGTTTGTATTCTTAACTAATTCACGTTAGTACTTTAGTTGGTGGATATTTGTGTAAATAATATTGTTAAGTAATGCAATTGCTCCATTGTCTAAGACGCCATATTTCTTAATTTACCAACAATGAAATTAAATAAGTAATGAAATTTTGAGTTTTCTTGCCATTTGAAAATTGTGTAAATATTCTTGTCATATTGTAATTCTCCATCAGAATATTAAATTTTATTAAATCAACGTAGATATTAGTTTAGTAACATATCGTTAAAATATTGTCTAAGCAGACTTGTCATCGTGTTCATCGAGCACAGTGGGGCCACCGACCGTGTCGAGCAGCCTGGATAGCCTGTCGGGCGGCGAGTGCGAGATGGCGCCCCACTCGCCGCAGCGGGGCGCCGCCGCTCCCGCCCACACCGCACCGCACGCCACGCACGCTGCGCCGCACGCCCCACCCTACGTGCAGCCGCCCACCTACCCGCCGCCGCCGCAGTGGCCCGTGGCGCCGCCCAACGTGTACGTCAGCCAGGTCACTGCCAACGTAAACGTACACGGCTACATGGGTCAGTACTACCAGCCGCCGCAGCACCAGTACGTACCTCCTGCGCCGCAGGTGGAACGCGCGCCACGCAACCATCGGCGCGACAGGCGCGGCAAGAGACCCCCGTCCCCTTCGCCGGCACCCCAGGCGCCGCCGTACTACGTGCAGTACCCGCAGTACTACCCGGCAGCGCAAGCACAGGGCGCACCCCTCTACCATCTGCCGGTCTACCAGCCCCTCGTTTATGGGCCCTATGCATACCCTCCATACTACACAGAGTACCAGGTTCCGGTTGAAGGTGAGGCCGACAAGGTCCCGGATGAGTACCAGCAGGAGGTGGTGATGGAGCAGGAGGCGGTGGACGCTTATTACGCAAGCGCACATTACGCAGGGCCACCGTATGGACCTCCGGTTGAGAGTGGCGTCGAATACATACCGCCAATGTACTTACAACCTCCCCCGCATCCGGGACCGATCCCCATGCAGCCTCAGATCCAGCACCAGCCGACTCCTCATCAGTTTAATGTGCACGCCAAAAACTTTGTTCAGGGTCAGAACCATAACAAGAATTATCCAGCTCTGGACAAACCTGACAAGAATGTCGCCGGCACGGCATCCGCTTCAGCGAGTACTCCCACGGGATCGGTCGAATCGGTGCCTATAAAAGATCTGAAAATTACCAGCAAGGATCCTCCAAGCCCCAAGCAGACTGAGCGTCCCGCCGACTCAAATCAGTCTAAACCGCCAACACCGAATGATAATAAAGCATCACCAATGCTCAAACAGGATCCCATGAAACCTGCATGGTCACCAAATGAAAATAAAGTCGCAACCGAAGTCAACCAGGCCCAAAACATTAATAAAACTTTCACACCATCTCCATCTAATGGTCAACCTGCTAATAATAACAAAGTACCACTATCAATGGGAAAACCGCCGAAAGGTCCCGCCGCTCCTTTTTCCGGCGGCAAACAGCCGACAAAGCCTTTGTTGCCACAAACAGCCGTGCCTGTACAATCAGTCTCTACGCCTAAGCCACCATTCGGAAATAGGCAGAAGCGAGAGGGAACGAATCGATCTCCATCAAACGACAACGACGGTGAGAAAACTATTGAACATCCGAAGCGCGAGCCCCCACTGCCACCGAGCAAAGCTCCCATGCCCATTTCTATTACCCTGAATACTCAGGGACCACCGCTGATCGTTTCGAACAAGTCACCGTTTGGCCATTCCAGGAAAGCGGTTCCTATTCCTGAAACACCTCCAGCGCCGCAGCCCCCACCGCCTGCGCCCACTGCGTCAGACTTTCCCCCGCCCCCGACTCCCAGAAATAGAGGGGAACCTGTGCCAGCGCCAGTTGTACAGCCAAACCCAGCACCCGCTTCTGGCAAGTCCTGGGCTAGTCTATTCTCTAATAAACCTTCAACTATAATGACGCCGCCCCAACCTGTAGTTCCTATCGAGGAACCCTCGAGCCCAACGACTACAACACCACCTATCCCTTCTAATGTGCAAAGGCCAGTTGCTAAAGTGCCGCCTTACGATGCCTCTCCCCTGCAAAATAATGTCGCTGATAAAGCGTCTACACCGAGGCCACCGACCAACGTGCCTCCGACTGTGTCGTACTCGGAGAAGACATCAGTGAATGCTGTTAGCAACCCACCGGCCACGCAAGCGCCCGTGAAGAGTAACACCACGCCAACTCCGGAGCCCCAAGCCGCGCCCCCGAAGGAGCCGTCACCCACTTTACCCATCCAGCCGTCGCCCTTCAGTGATGATCCCAACTCATACAGGATGGGAGGTAAATAAATTCATTTTGATAACTCTGGTTTTAGTACTTTTGCTGGAAGTTATCTAATTACTTTGCAAATCACAGTCTGAGAAATAAATGAATCTTCTAAATTTAAATGTTAAATCTATACGTAATTTCCAAAAGTATAAGCTCTGGTGAAAAGTGAGAATAGAGCACATATTTGTACACACCATTTTAGTTTTTATAAATATGTATGTTTAAATCGCATCCTTTGTGTTTCAGAATTCCTGACAAAGTATCAGCTAGACAATAGGCCGGTGTCGCTCCTGCCGCGTGGTCTTACCAATCGATCAAACTACTGCTATGTTAATGCCATACTACAAGCGTTGATCGCTTGCCCGCCATTTTACAACATGCTGAAAGCGCTACCATATCAGACGCGCCGTGGAAAATCAAGCACACCTGTTATAGACTCCATGTAAATATAACTTTAAAATTTATTGGTATCAACAAAAAAATATTGGTGAATTATACTAATTGTAAATCCTTTATCTATGAGGAAATGGTAGAAAGTAAAGATTCAGTGTCTGAACCTACTTTTTACCAGAGCTCATTAACATTAAATATTTTCTAGATTTTCAAACAATTATATTTAAAAAGATGTGCAAATTTGTGTAAATTTGGCCAGTTTCAGGTCACACAATTTTTATACATATTTTTGCTCGATGTTATAAGTTTCTTGAATTCTTCAATGAATCACCAGGGTGGAACTCTGCTACGAGTTTGGTCCCCTGGCGAATACTATGCGACGTCGCGGCGAAGGCAGTAACGGGGCAGTGGCGCCCACGGTTCCCGCCGGCCCGCCGCTCGACGGCAGCGCCGGCCTGCGTGTACTGCGCGCGCTGCACTTCCCCGGCTCGCAAGAGGGTAGGCAGGAAGATGCAGAGGAGTTCCTGGGATGCCTCCTCAACTCGCTCAATGATGAGATGCTAGAGGTAAACAATCTCCGCAATACTTTGAAACTATTATAACTACAGATTTATTAGTAGCAGTATTCTCTTTGACGATTTGACAACAATGTAATAAATAATTTTCTATTTGTCGGTTTTTATATAATTTTTATCATTTATTTTATGTGATTCTATTTGAATATATCAATGTTTCCAGTTGATGAAGCTTGTGGAACCTGAAGGACCTAAGGACGTTAACAACCGGCCCAACGGCGTCGTGCCTCCGGAGCAACCCCCACCTGAGGAGGACGACGATGATGAATGGAAGGTAATTCACCATTTATTTTATGTTTGTACGTAATAAAATTTCTAAGAATTTTAAAGCATAATTTTCTCTAATATTTGCTCAGTGAAATTATTGTTCAAGTGACATAAGTTTGCAGTATGTTTGCTTTTCCATTTTTAATTCTTTGCGTTGTTTACCTCAATGATCTAAGAACTTGTAAATGCCTTAAATATTTACACCTTACATAGTTTTTAACAAATGATTTGTATGTTGCAGGTGATGGGCCCACGCAACCGCGGCGCTGTGGAGCGTCGCTGGGCGGCTCGGCGCACCCCGGTCGCGGACATCTTCCGCGGCCGCACGCGTCACCGCCTGCACCGCGCCCACCACCATGACGTCACAGATGCTGTGCAGCCATTCTTCACGCTGCAACTTGATATTGAGGTACGAATTGTATGCAACAACTAGGCAGCGAATGGGCAGGTCACCTGGTATTAGCAACTGCTAGACATAGACATTTGCAACCATATGTAGAATAGATATGTTTGTTATCTCTACCTTAATTGAACAGAGAAGTCCCTTTTACCTTATTTATCCTTTCCTCGGTTGAATCTTAACTCCTCCTACCTTTTTACATTAGGATAGGGAGGGAAAGGAAGATTAATCTCATCTCAGTCAAAGGAAATTATTTTTACGTGACAAAATTAAATTATTTGCTAATATTTTTTCATTTTATTTCTTAAAGCGTTCAAACACGGTGAAGGACGCTCTCGAGCTGGTTGCTGGTAAAGACACACTAGAGGGAGTGACGGACGCATGGCAGCAGCTGTCCCTGGAGGAGCTGCCTGTGGTGCTGCTGCTGCACCTGAAGTGCTTCCAGCTTGATGCAGACGGACACACTGCAAAGATAGTCAAGAATATTGACTACCCCATTGACTTGAAGATTGACCCCAGTTAGTATAACTCATCTACTTGTGACTTTAGTTGCCCCAGTCTTTTTTTTTGGTTAATGGCTTAGCAGTCCCTTGGTGTTAATTTTAAAATACGAAATATGCCTTTAGCACCTATTAAATAACCCTGAGTTTGGCAGCATAATCTAGTAATTTAAATAGTAATTAAACTGACTTTAGGATCAGATTAAATATGGTTTGTGACGCAATATCTGTTTACCGGTACTAAATATATACCATGATGTATTTTATTTTTCGTCTCTGAATGTGATAAAAATATCACAGTAATGTAGACAATTATGACTGAGTTTTCTAAAATAACACTATCCTTGTATTTGAATAGAACCAAATACTATATTCAACACATTATGTTTACAGAAATAATGTCGTCCAAGTTGAAGTACACGCAGAAGCAGCGATTGTACAAGCTGTTTGCTGTTGTTTATCACGAAGGTGTTGAGGCAGTGAAAGGACATTACGTCACTGATACCTACCACGGTCAAGTAGGCTGGATAAGGTATGTTATTTTATACATATCTCTGTAAAATTGTGCTTATTATAGAGGTAAAAAAAAAGTTGTGAACGTATTTACGTCAACTAAAGTCAACTTCGTCACATGACGTTTAAACCAGTTTATTTTTTACTATGATGTTTATTATTTTTCGTCTCTGAAAGTGATTATTGTCACAACATGTAGACACATTTAACTGAGTAAACTTAAATATACAAGACTTTACCCAGTCCAGTATATACCGATGCTAATATAGTATTTACTCCACAGATATGATGATTCAACAGTGACTCAGGTTACTGATGCTCAGGTGCTTAAGCCTAAGCCACCTCGTATGCCGTATCTGCTCATGTATAGACGGCACGACATGCTGCCTCCACACAGAGCCGCCGGGAAACCGGAATAAACCGGTTTTGGACCGGAGTTAATCGGTTTGAAGCGGAATAAATCGGTATAATCTGGTTTTATGGATATCAACTGAATTACCAGTGATGTGACAGTGAATGTTTAGTGTAAATATTGTGTCAATACAACTAGCTGCTGCAATAACTAGTTGAAATGTCTTATGTATGTATGTACAGACTGGTGTAAACAATTTATTCTATGTATTGCTGGAAATTTTGATTCTTTGCGATTTTTTTGTACTATTTATATTGTATGGTTGAATTTTTTTTTATAATGTAATATTGGCAGAATGTAATGATTTTAACATACAATTATGAGGAATATTAAGTAAAAAATATGAATTGTTGCCAATAATTGTAAATATTGTGAACTAGTTACTGCAGTGATTAGTTCAATAAATTATTTTTGCACAACGAAATTGTCTCACGTATCTGTATAGGTTAAATTGTGTGCAAATAATGTACATTTTTCCTATTTAATTGCATACTGATTTTTTTTGTTTGGTTTTATGAATTTCATTGCAAGGCTTGTTTTATTTTTTTCAATTTTGTAATATAGTGTAAATTAGACTTATAGTTTTAAGGTAGGTTTACACTTTATGGAAAATGTTTTTACGTTTCGTTTCTCCGAAATAATCTGATAGATTATATGACATGTTTGATTGAATTTTAACTTGTTCTGATCAATGAATGGGTGTTAAATTTGTAAATATGTTTTGTGTAAAATACTAGGAGTTGGCAATGTGGGACCCTTTTTTTATTATAAGGATCTAAATTTTTTTTTGTCTCATAGTTTTTTTTAAACGGTTGCTTGAAACTGCCAAAGTATATTATATATTGGTTGCAACTCCATAAGTAGATTAAGTTTTCGACAATATGGAATTGTAAAATAAAAAAGAATAAAAAAATGTATAGGCATTACTCTAATTAATAAATTAATATGAAAAATATTAAAAAAATGGACTGATGGGAAGTACAAAGTTGGGATATGATGTGATATGGGAAGTTGGCAGATATCAAGAATGCATTAAGAAGTATGGAAATCTTTGTATTAATATTATTCGAAATAAAACTTGAAAATGACGTCAATTAAGTTATATTAAGCCTTAAAAAAAAGTAATATGCATCTTGTTTTTTTTTTGCTTTACTAAAGCATGTATGCATATAAATATCCAAAAGTTTTTTCAATATCACACAAGAATGAAAACTACTAGGCATGTTGACGGATTACATGTTTTTTTTAATTTGCCAATGTCCAACTAGGAATTGTGGTAATACTTGCTAAATTAGTCAAACTATCCAATCGAAAAGTTTACCCCTTGTCAAATTTTTCTATAGATTTTCATTGATAAATATTGTAATTTATTAAATTACAAATTACTATTTTGATATGCTTATGCACAACATTGTCAAGAAACTTTTTGCGATCTTTTTTCAGATAGACAGAGAACATGTTTTATGTTCATGTTTCGTCAAATAAACAAAGTAATTGAGTTTGTAGGCAGATTTATAACTTGTAGATATCTAATTTGGAATACTAAAGTGTGGTGAAAAAAGCCTTTTTGTAAGGCACTAATTTTCTCAGTGTAATTTACAATACAAAATGACATTTCGAAATGTCAATTCTCAATTAGACGTCAAACTTGTAAGATCGTTGTATGGTGTTATGGACGGTGTTAGGAAATGTTTCGTTTTATTCTATTTGTTTGCACGAAATTATATTTAATATTAATGAATAACTATAGGTAAGACAAGGCATATGTTTTAAATGATATGAATTTTAAGTGGTAGATAATTTGCTTTTCGGTTATATAGGAATTTGTAGCTTGTATTTTATTTAAGCTACCATTTTAAGATTAGACTTATATATAAAATTTAAATATACATCAAGCATGTAAATGCACATCAAAATCATTTTTTTTTTCTTAATCATAATTAAATATAATAAAAAATGCCTAAAAAATGTTTTCAAGGCCAAAAGGATTAATATCCAAGATGGCGACAATAAGCATGGAATTTTGAAATATGATTTGAAATAGTATTGAGAGTTATTCAAAACTTTAAAATACTAAGTTCATTACTTTAACAACTTGCACATATCTGTGAAGAAACTCAAAGATATGTAGTCAACCCGCACTGGTCACCAAGGTTGACTATGGCCTAGTCACCAATAATTTGAATAGGCTCAAAGCCCCTTTGAGAGATGAGCTGACAGCAAATTTAATTAATTTTTGTAATTATATATTTTTCATTCATACTTTCACTACACTAACAGAAACGATATTTTTTTCTTTCAATGGAAAGATGTAATAATTATAATATTTATGATTGTTATTTATTAAACAAAAAGTGATATGAATTCGCTCAGTGATTTGTTTGGAATGTTTTTTTTTTAATTGCAAATAAAGATTGCTCCTTGTTTTTTGTAGTTAGAAATGTTTTTGGTGAGTGTTTAAGATTTTTCTAAGCTGTAAATTGTATTGTCACAGCTTAATAACAAAGAAATATATTTGTATATTATTGAAAACAATTTAAAAAAGATATATCGTTTAATCGATATGTTTATTTATTGAGCTAATGATTACAATGCGTACACAATAACATGATACACGAATTACGTTATTTGTACATTGATATTATATTTTTTCTATCATTCGATTGTTTCACGAGGTGAACTTTTTCGTATGACGTCATCTGTTTGTGTCGTGTTATTGTGGTCGTATAGTAACTGGTCATCTGTAATATCGCTGTTAGATTTAACTAGGTGCTTTGATGGACTGGAAGCGATGCAAAGGAATGTGTAACGTGCCCTATGTTTTGTGATATGAGTGTAATGAACGAATTGTGCGATTGTTTCGGTATGTATTTGATTGTATAATTATTGTTACTGCAAATTGTTATAGAACATAGATATTATCACGCCGTTGCTATGTTTTTAATATTATTTTAGAAACGATTTGGATTTAATACATTAACTTTGTGGAACATGAAATGCAAGATTTTTTAAATGTTTGGTTAAAAATAATTTTCTCTATAAATTTCGATACTGCTTAGTTATGTTCAATATTTAATGTACTTTGTCTTTTCTGTTAGAAAAAAAAGTGGAAATTATTTTAAATGTAAACGCTATTGGTGTATACTAAAGGAAAATATAAATTAAGGTTATTATACTAATAATATTGATGTAAGGTAATGTATGATCTCACCTCGTTGTTTCCAAATTAATCACAATGTTTAATGGATGTAATTTTTTCTTATTAATAGCCATACACGGACCTCTGTTTGCAGTCGATCGCTTGAAGCTGATACAGACTGCAAGACCGTGTAAGGCAATCTTTAAAATAGTTGTACAAAAATTAATGTCACCAATTGACTGTGGATTAGATTAATGTAATTGGACGAGATAAAACGTGAGGAATTTGTGAATGTAACGAATCAATCACCTTTTAAAGTTTCTCGGTCGTTTAAATACTTATGTTTACGAACGGACGGTACATTGACATTACGTACATCGGTCCAATGAAAAAAAACACTAGGTGATGTTTTAAATGAAAATTGTAATGTCAAAGTGTTTGATGTTATATTGAAATGTAAAATTTTTAAGGATTTATTATTGTAAAAGCTTTTTTTTATCTGTAACTCGGTTGTTGTTTTTTTTTTGTATGGATTTTGGGTAGCTAATAATGAATAGTGATTGTCAATAGAAATAAAACTAGATTTTAATAGTACACCAAACTTGAATATGGAAAACATTATTATTATGTTGATGTAGCTTTTTCGCACAGCGATATAGAGGTTAGGATATTGGTAAGGTTAATTCTTTAAAATATATGGCGCAATATCGCTAATACGTGCTATTTTTTTTTTAAATTCGCGGTTTAATACCTCGATTAGACAGATGTTCTGTTTATCCTTTTTATAAGGTACTATTTTCCAGATAAAACTACCTCTATTTTTTCGTCATTGCTAAATACGCTAAAAAAATTTGCTATTTTTAAATAAAACTTTTTTTTAGTTTAAAAACGCAGATTTTTCTTTGAACTCATCTAAGATTTTTTATACGTTTTCTCTACAAAAAAATTATCAACGTATATTTCAATTTGTAAAAATCTTTAGTTAAAAGTTTATAAAATTGATTTTGTAATATAATTATGAATGTTTTTGCAATGGCGATGTTGCGTCATCTTTAGACGTGTAGACCCTTAGATGTAATCGTCGTAAAAGATTTCTATAGTAAGGTAAACGAATTTATGTGCATATAGAAACCTTCACTCAATTTAAACCGAACAATCGAAATATCTAGAATATTCTTTAGTAATTCTATTGTCTACATTGTCTTTTATTCCAATAATGGACGTTTTTTATTTATCTTTATATTTTTGTTTTTAAATGCGTAAGACTGAACGCAAAATTCCCCATAATTTATTTTTAAAATTTTAGTAGCAACACTTTACCGTGTTAATTTTTTGTTAATACATTTGTATCGATTATACGTTTATTTTACCGTCCATGGAAATGTAGGGGAAGTGTTACAAATCTAACGTGGAGTTTCCATTGCTGTATATTTGTCTGCTTTTTAAAATATGAAACGGATAACAGGTCCTGTGACAGTGGACATCCACGGTAATGTTTTCGATTATTGTGGACACGTCTTAGTATAGTGCTAAACCCTCTCATGTACTATTAAAGATCGTCATATTTCTAGAAATATTCTATATTAATCTTTACTTTTAAACGACCTTAACAAACATATATTTGTAAGGCGAGATTATTTAGGACCGAATATCGTATACTTTTCAGTACAAATTCACAGTTTCTTGACAGAGATTAGTGTTTGGACGTGAATTTTAAATTTGCGTCCGTATTCGCGAATTATTTTTACGTAAATGTAAAAATATCCTACAATTTAAAGCTGTGCGTTTTTAAAAACTATTTTTCCCTGAATTCTGTGCTGGTTACAGTATTTTTTTTTCAATTTCAAACAAACAAAGTTCGAGTTTCAAAGTGTAAAAAACTATTTAAATGTTTTGATGAAGTCATTTACTTTTGGATAACAACTCGGCAACGATTTTTTAATTATAAAATATTGATCTTTATAAGTGGATAAGCTGTAAACCGGGGTATTTTGTGCCCATTTGATTTCCGCCATTTTGGCGCTGATTGTAATGGTGTTAAACCAACTAATGAAAGGAGATGCGTGAACAAAACAAAAGCTATCATTTTCAAGCAGTGACCTATCCAAGGTTTTTCTAGATATCAGTTCTATGAAAGAATAAATGCAATAGGTTATAACGGAGTATTAAGAGTTATTTTAGATTTCAGGATGGATATACATACATGAATGTTTTCAATGAAAATTATATTAGTTTTATTAATGAACGTTCCTGAGAAATATTTTATTGTAATTAATAATTATATGATCAAAGTAGTGAATAGTTTTTGCATATGCAGCTTTATATTCATATTTTATGGTCAGTTTTGTTTTCGACAATATATTAAAATCGATTGTCCTTTCCTATTATGCTTTTCGCTGATATTTTTAACTTATTTCTTAGATTAAGGTTTATTTGGCTTTGGTATGAGGGAGTGTAATGTTTGTTTTCCCATTGCAATTTGAATTCTTCGTTTAAGTTAACTACTAGATGTAAACATTTAAAATAACGAAATTCAATTTAAGTAAAATAAATCTAAAATTTATAAGGATTTATTATTTATAAGGTTGAGTACACAACAAAATAGTATTGATCCATTTGCACAAAACATCCGATATCTTTCATTATCAAGAATGGTTAGTCTTTTATAACATTGCCCTTGAAAATTACGACTGATTTGTATTACAATTCGAATATATGCTAAAGTAATATCTAGTCGAATATAAAATGATAAAAATATAAGCTAAATTTATATTCATTGAAATCAACAGAAAATAAGTGCAATAGATTTAAAGAATTTATTAAAAAAAAAGTCCTGGTCTAAATCTACATAACAATGAAATTACATCGGTCTATATACTTAGAATATAATGTATGTAATATGCTTATTATTAATTATTATTTTTATATGAGAAGTTATAATTTTAAGTTACTATTAATTTTAGTGATAAGATCCAAGGCTGTATTAAAAAGGAGTGTTTTTTTTCCTCAACAAGGAAGTTTATAATGTTTTATTTAACCTATTCGGAATATCTTGTATAAAAATACTCCTGTTTGAACGTAACAGAGATTATAAATATCTCCGTTTGCTAACAAATTGGACGAACTAAACTCTGTTACGGCTGTTTCTATAATTTGTTAATATGTGTGTATGACTAAATAAAAAATAATCCCTTTATTTTGGTAACGAATTGGTGTTATGAAAAATTTGTGAATAAATAATGGTGTCATTCTGAAAACTATTTTTATTTGACAGGAACAAATGTACCAGCGGTTTATCTGTCCCTTCATTTTCCCTGTCGTCTATAAAATATCTATATATATAAAAGAAAGTCGTGTTAGTTACACTATTAATAACACAAGAACGGCTTTACCGATATGGTTGAAAATTGGTTAGGAGGTAGCTTAGAGACGGATAAAGGATACTATTTATTTTTTTCGATTTATGCCTTAAAGAGCTGCTTTCTATTAAACTTATCTATATATTAAGTTTTTTTATATATCGCCGCGGGCGTCAGCTAGTTTTTCATTAAAAAAATAAGTCTAAAATGATTTTGATTGTTGCAGTCTCATTTGCTCGAGTTTTAAAATAGAATGAGGTCTTATTCAAAAATAAAAACAGACGTTGGAAAAAATATGTTTATTTTTAATGTTACTGCATCATTTTACATCGTCCACGATATTCTGAAATAAAATGCATTAGTATTTAGAAAAATATCAAACTAAGCACAGGAAGTAATGATAAAACTTT